ATCCTATTCTCCTTAGGGTCCCTACTATAGCTCTATATATACAGCATTAGGCTCACGGAAGAAGAGAACAATCCCACAACCTTGGGAAACACGTCCAGCCTCTCTCTCTCTCTTCCAAGGAGTAGTTCTATTTCTTGTGCTCCACTGATACAAGATCTAGATAGCTGTTTTTGAATACAGTAGAAGATCTTAAGGTATTTACGGGATTCCAAGCAGATCTATCATACATCCAAACCGGAGACCAAAATCAGCAAGTGACCATACCACGACGACCAGGACGACGAGACGAAGAGATCGCCGTCGAGATCGCCGCCAGCTGTCGCCGCACGCGCCGCCATGCGCCGCCGGAAGGGAGCAGCTGCCGGAGCTTACTCGCGCGCGTGAGAGCGCGTGAACCGTCCGATTTCCGACCGGTCAACGCCGTTGACTTTGCCGTGACTCCAGCTTTCTGGATTGGTCAAGTTTGTTCGATTCCGAGAAGATTTGATTTGCGGTCAACTGTTCGGGCTAGCCAGATCTACATAAATTTTAAGCAGTATGTTTTCTTAATCAAACCTTTAGATCCGCTGCGCATCGGTTTATGTTGAATGTTTGTCCGTGATTTGTGCATATCGAGATCCTCATATGTTCCAACACCAACCACCGTATAAATAGATAACAACACGATCACTTTTCATCACTGCGCGCCCGCGCGCAGCCCGCGCACAGCCCGTGTAATATCCCGTTATTTTATCAGTATAAATTACGTTTTAGTTCCGATATATTAATATTGTCGAGTATTAATTTCGGAATTAATTATTTTCAATCGAGATTACCAAAAATTATTTTCGACGTACCGTTTACGTTCGAAATAATTTTAGTAATTAAGTATTATGTTTAAAAGTTAATAAAGCCAAATTAGGTGATTAATTAAACATTAATCACACGTTAATGGAGCAAAAGCCATACCATTTTTTCCATCTTAATTTCCCTAATGCCGTAGCATTCCTTCAAAGTTGGGAACAAGTTTAATTACTTTTTCTTTTAGACATGAAACGTGGCATTAATAGGAGTATTTGGGGGTGACTAATCATTTTTAGTCACTAACCATGTAGCAATTGTCAAGATCAAGGGAGGCCACGTCTACACCTTGTCATCCATCTTCCCCTTCGGTTCAAATATAAATAGGATGTTTGGGACCAAATTTTCCCAACTTTTCAGCCCTATACTCGTATCTTATAAGTTAGTAAGTTCAGCAAATAGTTAGACAAGCAGTTGCCTTAGTTCTTTCGTTCATCACGCACGGCAATAGCTTACCGCACACGGACACGCGCACTCGAGGACTATGGGAGGTTACGATCCGTTTGCGAATTTCCGTCAGGCACTTGAGGAGGTAAAGCCATCCTCAATCTCTTTTCATGTCAATAAGTTCATTTAAGGGTGATATGTTGGGTTCATGTTTCAGAAATTCATAGATATATCATGTTAGACTCGGTTTATGCCATTATTAGTCATGACGGAGTAAAGTTCAAATCCATCCAGCAACTCATGAACAATTCACGTTTATTTGATCAGTTTAAATCATTTTACACTCAATTATGTCATGTTAGTCGGAGCAAGATATCATTTATCCTCGAAATTGGCTCACAGCCGTTGGCAGCGCACGTCGCGCATATCCACGGGCTGTTCCATGTCATGTTATGTCATCTCTTGTTATAGTCAAGTTTATCCGTGAAAGTTATATCTCAATAGCTTTAAAATGATGTTCCATGTTTAGTTTATCTTGAGTTGCTGAGGGAAAAGTCGAGTCGGTCGGGAGACGGCCTAACGCCGTCGGCGGCGCACGGTGCGCTCGCCACGACCTATTTAGATTATCGTGCAAGATTTATATTTTCAAGTTAATTCAGTGATTATGATCATGACATATCAGGTTATGTTATTTAAAGTCAGTTTGCACGGAAGTTGTTGCCTTGCCGGCCGTGGCCGCGCTGTCCGCACGCAGCGGCAACAGCGCGCCCGACAGTCAGCAGCGCGACTGGTAGC